GACAGCGGGTACAGGAACTTCATCCCGAACTGCTGTCACAAGGACAGAGTAGATCAATGAGGGGCTGCAACAGTGGGAACAAGTTACATATTGCACCTTAAAAACGTGTTCCCAGAGGTGAACTTGCCCTTGAAGAGATGAAGGTCTGGGTCGCAGGTCTTTTTTGTTCAACTCCATCCAGCTGCAGCCTGCCACAGACTTTGACAGGCTGCCTGTAGTGGGGCTGGACACTGCACCTGTCCCTCTCAGACACACTAAAATGTGGGAAGGGAAGAACTGCATACAGACAGCCCCATGTGTATTGAGCCCTAGTAAATGGTTTGCTGAAAGAGGAACTCAAGCTCCATTGTAAGAAACAGCAAGCAGGCAAGTTTTTATTGTAGAAGATACATGTGCTTTATATTCTGCAATAAAATGCCCCCACCTGCCTGCTCGCTGTCTTCTCCAGTGCTGTAAACCGAGTTGTACATGCACAGCTTGGTTAATAGTGCCCAGCTGGGCTGAGTGGCGGGACCCTTACCTCCTGCACACGTGTAGGAGTGACATCATCTCCTGTCAGCCAATGAAGAGGCCCGAAGACCAGCACTCAGAAGAAGATGCTGGCACCGGGGAGGGACCATTGGACAGGTGAGTATTCACCCTTTAGTTCCACTGTAAAGTGCTAGTGAACACACAGCAGTAAAATCAGTCTGTATATGCAATAAAGCATGCTTGTAAGCTCAGTGTGGAACCTAAGGGGTTAATTATGTAAAAAGGCTGTTTGATCCTGTCTTCTTTGAGCCTCGCCTTCTATTGTCCCCAATCCACTGTGGAACCTAAGGGGTTAATTTGTGTAAAAAGGCTGTTTGATCCTGTCTTTTCTGATCCTCACCCCCTTCTACAGTCCCCAATCCACTGTGGAACCTAAAGGGTTAATTTGTGTAAAAAGGCTGTTTGATCCTGTCTTCTCTGATCCTCACCTTCTTCTACTATCCCCAATCCACTGTAGAACCTAAAGGATTAATTTGTGTAAAAAGGCTGCTTGATCCTGTTTTCTCTGATAGTCACCCCCTTCTACTGTTCCTAATCCACTATGGAACCTAAGGGGTTAATTTGAGTAAAAAGGCAGTTTGATCCTGTCGTCTCTGATCCTCCCCTTCTACTGTCTCCAATCCATCTGCTGATGGCACAGAGCTCTAGGAGTCACTCTGGACATGTTCAGTTTAGTGTATTGCTAGAGACTTTCTTTGTCCGGACAGAGAGTCAGGGGTTATGCAGCCTCATAGGACAGTCAGAGGAGAATGAAAACTCCTCCTACAAGCTTTAACCAGTGCTCTGCTGGACACTGATAGAAGTCACAAGACTGCTATATACTACTGATAAGAAAAGGTATTTAGCAGTTTATATTTACTAAAATAATTTCATTTTCATGTTCAGTGTACTCTGGGAGACCTGATATAGTGAATGCAGGGTACTGGGTTTAGTAACACTTTAAGAGCTTGTACACACCATGTGCATTGAGACTGCATTGATTACCGCAGGCTCAGTGCAAGCACACTGAACACAATTGTTCCTTATGTACCGTGTTCACAGCATACGGGTGTGTTGATGGGCACAGAATAAAAATATAACTTATCTGCATTTTTATGCATTACAAGGCATGACAATGTGCTGCAACACACTGGGGGTTATTTACTAAAACTGGAGCCATTCTGCATAGAAACCAATCAGCTTCCAGGTTTTTATTTTCAAAGTTAGAAGCCGATTGGCTACCATGCACAGCGGCACCAGATTCTGTGTGCTGCAGTTTTAGTACATGTCCCGCACAGTTTGATATCATGTTGGGAAAAAACACTTTGGGAAACTTTATGCCAAAGTATTTTCGGTGCCACATTTTGCCCCCTTCATGAGGGCCTAAAAGAATAGAAAGACTTGGCTGTAGATGAAATTGTACATCAAAGGAAGCTCAGTACTGTTTAGGGGGCTGGGTGTGTGTTATAAAGTCTAATACACGTGCCTATAAAGCTCACCCCACTATTCCCATTCTCAGCTCATCCATCTTCCAGATTCTACTTCTACAGTCCCTGATGAAGTGTGACTGAGGAAGTCCCTCAAACGTACTGGTTTATGTTTATATTGTGACCAATAAAGATCTAACTGGACTGTTTACCATACATTTGGTGCGCTCCCCTTTCCTTACTACACAGCTGGGTCTGGAAGGTTAACAACGGGATTGTGTTCAGGATTATCCTTGTCTGCACCTCAGAAGTGTTCTACTCCAGAGGTTTAGCCAATTGTGTGATTTACTGTCTGTACACATTAGCAGACGTGTTGTGAGTATAATGTGTGCACACTGGGGGTGAGATGTGTTGTAATAATGTATTGTGATGTTTACATGTGATGTGTTGCATGTTTTTTGTGTTTGTTTGTTTTTTGGAAAGATGATAAAAAACAAATCCCTTTTTTGTTTGTTTTTTTTTTTTAGATGCTCCTAGACGTTATGGAGGAGCCGAGGGGCCGCGTCCCGAGCACCGAGGAGGAGCCGAGGGGCCGCGTCCCGAGCACCGAGGAGGAGCCGAGGGGCCGCGTCCCGAGCACCGAGGAGGAGCCGAGGGGCCGCGTCCCGAGCACCGAGGAGGAGCCGAGGGGCCGCGTCCCGAGCACCGAGGAGCCGAGGGGCCGCGTCCCGAGCACCGAGGAGGAGCCGAGGGGCCGCGTCCCGAGCTCCGAGGAGGAGCCGAGGGGCCGCGTCCCGAGCTCCGAGGAGGAGCCGAGGGGCCGCGTCCCGAGCTCCGAGGGGCCGCGTCCCGAGCTCCGAGGGGCCGCGTCCCGAGCTCCGAGGAGGAGCCGAGGGGCCGAGTCCCGAGCTCTGAGGAGGAACGAGAGGCCGCGTCCCGAGCACCGAGGAGGAACGAGAGGCCGCGTCCCGAGCACCGAGGAGGAACGAGAGGCCGCGTCCCGAGCACCGAGGAGGAACGAGAGGCCGCGTCCCGAGCACCGAGGAGGAACGAGAGGCCGCGTCCTGAGCACCGAGGAGGAACGAGAGGCCGCGTCCCGAGCACCGAGGAGGAACGAGAGGCCGCGTCCCGAGCACCGAGGAGAAACGAGGGGTCGCGTCCCGAGCACCGAGGAACGAGGGGTCGTGTCCTAAGCACCGAGGAGGAACGAGGGGTCGTGTCCGGAGTACTGAGGAGGAGGGAGGGGACATGTTCTGGCCATAAAGAAGGAGCTCTGGCCATTAATGCAGAACTAAACCCTCCTACCCCTTATCGCACCCAAGGCTCCATTCACACTAGGGTGTTTCAAATCACAGGTGGACGTCGCAATACTAACTGAAAACACGCTGTGAAAATGAGCATTTGCGTGTTCAGGTGCCATTCATTTCAATGGCAGCTGGAAATGGGGGGATCGCGCAAACAAAATCGACACCGAAAAAAGGTTCCGCCCATGATTTGAAACTCCCTAGTGTGAATGGAGCCTAAGAAGCTGCCATCTTGGCCTCGGTTTGAGGTTCAGTTGCCATGGGTGCTGCACATGATCAGTGATGACACCAGTCATTGGATGCTTTGGCAGTTCAGGTGAGAGCACAATTGTGACACCTATGACCTACGACATGACTTTGGGGTCAGTTTCGGGAATCTGTTCTATTGGTGGGTTTAGTTCTGCTGTAAGGAGGACCGGAGGGGACATGTTCAGGCTACTATGGAGGCACTCCGGGGACACATTCTGATATTAAGGAGGAGCTTTGGTGATATGATCAGCCTATTAGGGAGGAGCTCCAGGGATACATTACAGTGATGGAGGAGCTCTGGGGACAGGCTGTGAAATTAAGGAGGAGCTCATTGTGATACATCCTGCTCATTATGGGGGCACTCTGGGGGACGCCGTCCCGCTCATTATGGGGGCACTCCGGGGGACGCCGTCCCGCTCATTATGGGGGCACTCCGGGGGACGCCGTCCCGCTCATTATGGGGGCACTCCGGGGGATGCCGTCCCGTCACTATGGAGGCTCTCCGGGGGACGCCGTCCCGTCATTATGGAAGCACTCTGGGGGACGCCGTCCCGTCATTATGGGGGCACTACGGGGGACGCCGTCCCGTCATTATGGAGGCTCTCCGGGGGACGCCGTCCCGTCATTATAGAGGCTCTCCGGGGGACACCGTCCCGTCATTATGGAGGCACTCCGGGGGACACCGTCCCGTCATTATGGAGGCACTCCGGGGACAAGGTTCGGTCATTATGGAGGCACTCCGGGGGATGCCGTCCCGTCATTATGGAGGCACTCCGGGGACACGGTTCGGTCATTATGGCGGCACTCCGGGGACACGGTTCGGTCATTATGGAGGCACTCCGGGGACACGGTTCGGTCATTATGGAGGCACTCCGGGGGATGCCATCCCGTCATTATGGAGGCACTCCGGGGACACAGTTCGGTCATTATGGAGGCACTCCGGGGACACAGTTCGGTCATTATGGAGGCACTCCGGGGACACAGTTCGGTCATTATGGAGGCACTCCGGGGGACGCCGTCCCGTCATTATGGGGGCACTCCGGGGACACAGTTCGGTCATTATGGAGGCACTCCGGGGGATGCCGTCCCGTCATTATGGGGGCACTCCGGGGACACAGTTCGGTCATTATTGAGGCACTCCGGGGACACAGTTCGGTCATTATGGGGGCACTCCGGGGACACAGTTCGGTCATTATGGGGGCACTCCGGGGATGTGTCTGACTGAGAATACAGCAGAAGAAATAGAACAGCCCCTCCACCATGTACACAGTATGGAGGTTGGGGGTATCTGGGGCCCCTGTGAGGACACTGGCTGTTCCGGGCCCTCCATATGTCCCCTCAGGTTGGTGACTGACCCTGGAGGCCTCAACATGAACCATCCCCCCAGCTCCCACAATGCACCGGGCTCCCCCTGACGAGCCGCCCCGCGGAGCCATTTACCCAGGGGCCCTGGAGGGGCCCCTCACAGCTGTCACCCCGCCTCCCCTGGGGGGCCGGCAATACCCATTACCTGCTTCTCCTCGCCGCTCTCTTCCAAGGTCACGTCCCCTTCGTATTTCTCCGACATGATGCCGCGACAGGGACCGAGAACGGCGGCTTCCCCCAGCACGGGCGCGCTTCACTTTCTCCGCTTCAAAATGGCGGCCACCCGACGTCACAGGGCTGAGAACGAACAGCCCTCCTCTACCCGCCACCGCCAAGAGAAGGCGACAGGACGCCAATCCGCTCTGCTGGTGACATCATACGGAGCCAATCACCGACGACAGCGGAAAAGGGGCTGACCAATAAGAGGGCGGGACGGGGTGTGGAGGCGGGTGAGGGAATTAGAGCGGCCAATCAGAAAGAGGTCGTGACTGGGCTCTGTTGCCATGGGAGAGATGCATCAGAGTGCAGAGATGTGTGTGTGAGGTGATTAGGCGGGATGGATTGTGCCGTGTATAGCCTGCCACCTTCACTCTGTTCTGCGCTGTACACTGATCAATGGAAGCCTTCTATATATATAAAATAATACAGAAAACGTGTAAAACAACATTTTATTATAAATAAATAGCAACGAGTATGAGTCTGTATAGATATCTGGGGTATGAAAATCAAAAATGACATATGAGATAAACTGACTAAAGTTGATTCATAAAGCTAAATAAATACAAACATACGTTTGTTGACATTTGTTGAAGTCGTGGTTTAGCCACGCGCAGGGACGGACTGACCATTTGGAAACTTGGGCACTGCCCGAGGGCCTGGGGTCAGTAGGGGGCCCCATGAGATGCCCGGTACCTTTTTCATAGGCTTTTTTGAGTTTGGGCAAGGACACAGGGGCCCCATGATGCCCTATTGCCCGGGGGCCCCATGAGTTCCGCCCCTGGCCACACGTTATTCTAGCGCTGCTTGTTAAGGAGCCAGCACCCGCCGGCGTCCCTAACATCCAGCATGGTTGTTAAGGAGTGGACGGCCGCCAGCATCCTTAACAACCAGTAACTGTCATGGTTGTTAACCACTTGCCCTCCAGAGGATTTCCCCCCCTTCCTGACCAGGCCATTTTTTGCATTACGGCACTACGTTACTTTGACAATTGTGCGGTCATGCAACGCCGCACCTGAATGAAATGTATGTCCTTTTTTTCCACTAATTGAGCTTTCTTTCGGTGGCTTTAAATGTTTGCGCTATAAACGAAAAAAACCTGAGAATTTTGAGGAAAAAAAAAACAATATTTTTGACTTTTTGTGCTATTAAACAAATCCAGTAAAAAAATTTAAAAAATCAAATTTTGTCATAAATTTAGGCCAAAATGTATTCCGCAACATGTCTTTGCTGAACAAATCCCAATAAGTGTATATTAATTGGTTTATGTGAAAGTTATAGCGTTTATAAATGGCGGTATAGATACTGGGATTTTTTTTTTTTACATTTTTACTAGTAATTATAGTGGGACTGCGGAGGGCATTCTGACACTGGGGGGAACTGACTTGGTGTCACTGACATCCCCAATGACACTAATACAATGATCAGTGCTAATAAAAAGAACTGACACTGTACTAATGGCACTGGGCACGAAGGGGTGAACATCTGGGGTAATCAAAGGGTTAACTGTGTGCTGTTTTACTGTGTGCTGTGTGTGTGTTTCACTGTAAGCACACTGCTTTGTATGGCTGTGCTATGTAGAGCCATACAAAGCAATCTGCAGGAGCTGACAGGGGAGAGATCTGTATTGTTTACAAACAGTGCTCCTCCCCATCGGAGATGCTCGGCAATCAAGGGGCGCCGGCGAGTAATCACCGGCCAGGACCCGCGGCCAAACAGCGGCGCAGGTAGGGAGCGCGCACCCCCTACCCAGAAATGCAAAATCATGTATATAACATTAACCACTTGCCTACCAGACACTTTAACCCCCTTCCTGTCCAGGCCAATCTTCAGCTTTCAGCGCTGTTGCACTTTGAATGACAATTGCGCAGTCATGCAACACTGTACCCATATGAATTATTTATTATTTTTTTCATACAAATAGAGCTTTCTTTTGGTGGTATTTAATCGCCACTGGGTTTTTTTTTTTTTTTGCACTATAAATGAAAAAAAGAGCAAAACATTTGGAAAAAAAAAAGGTTTTCTTTGTTGTTGTTTGTGGCACTGCTGGGCACTGCTGGTGGCAGTAAAGGGCACTGATAGGCAGCACTGATGGGCACTGATAGGCTGCACTGATGAGGCGGCACTGGTGGGAATTGATGAGGAGGCACTGATGGGCACTGATAGGAAGCATTGATGGGCACTGATTGGCGGCACTGATGGGTACTTACTGGCGGCACTGACTGGTGCCACTGATAGGCATTGATGGGTGGCACTGCTGGGCACTGATAGGCAGCACTGATGAGGCGGCACTGGTGGGAATTGAGGAGGCACTGATGATGCTGCACTGATGGGCACTGATAGGCAGCATTGATGGGCACTGATTGGCAACACTGATGGGTACTTACTGGCGGCACTGACAGCACTGACTGGCGCCACTGATGGGCATTGATGGGTGGCACTGCTGGGCACTGATAGGCAGCACTGATGGGCACTGATAGGCTGCACTGATGAGGCGGCACTGGTGGGAATTGATGAGGAGGCACTGATGATGCTGCACTGATGGGCACTGATAGGTGACATTAATGGGCACTTATAGGCAGCACTGATGGGTACTGACTGGCAACACTGATGGGCATTGATGGGTGGCACTGCTGGGCACCACTACTGGGCACTTTTGGGGCTGCACTGATAATTAGGGCACTGATAATCAGTGCCCTGATTATCAATGCAGATGTCCTGTGTGACGCCAGTTATCGGCAGTACTTTCCTCACGCTGTGACAGCATATGGAAAGTGCTGCCGATAACCGGCAACTGTATTTACTTTGTGATCAGCTGTGTCATTGGACACAGCTGATCATGTGGTAAAAGGCCGCAGTGATTGGCCTTTTACCTTGTCATGTGATCAGCTGTGTCCGTAGGACACAGCGATCAGAGACAGCGTCGGGTGCATGCCGCTGGGGGCGTGTTTTGGAAGGACGTCATATGAACTGGACAAGCCGTCATTCGGCGTAATTATTATGTGTTCGGATTTAAAGGGATGAGGTGGCAACTCTAATGTAGAACTGGACTTCTGACTCTTCTATAAAGGATACTCGTAGTCAGGGGCGGACTGACCATTCGAGCACTCGGGCACTGCCCGAGGGCCCGGGGTCAGTAGAGGGCCCCATGAAATGCCCCTGGTACCTTTTTATAGGCATTTTTGGGTGTGCTTTGAGTGTGGGCAAAGACACAGGGGCCCCATGATCCCCTTTTGTCCGGGGGCCCCATGAGTTGTCAGTCCGCCCCTGCTCGTAGTAAGTCCTCACTGGATGTATAAGGGAACAAAATAGATTAACACTTGGGGATGCCCTTGGTGATCTGTGCAGATCCATGCAGCTGTCCACCTGTCATTGATTTTAAGGCTGCCTGCACAGAACACCTGTGGCATCCTATGCAGGAAAACACGGCCTTCTGCGTGGGTGTATGGAACAGAACACCCATGTGAATTAGGCCTGTCCATGTGTACTGGAAGGGCATTGGTGTGTCATTCAATACCATTAAAAATAAATGGCAAAAATAAATACACTATGGCACGCACATTGCCACAAGGACTCGTATCTGAAGCCAGTCCTACCCACATCCCTACCGCCATAAAAATTTGGGGGTATTGTGGACCTAGGGAGGCCATCATAGCACATTTTGGGTAACAGGCACATAAAAGAACACTCTCTAGTGTTCTTTTATATTCAAAGAGATTTATTCAGTCTCTCGGGGACACCAACAAGTGTTTTTCACCAAAGAATTTTAACCCTTTGGTGATTCTTTTATGAACTGTTTCCCTTTCTATACATTTTGCAGCTAATTTACTTGTGACTTATTTATGAGTTTGTTATGTTATCCAGGTAACAGACATTGTGTACAGAGCCTTTCCAAACACCTCTGTGCTGTGTAATTGCTGGGATGACCAATCACAAATGTAAACAACGTAGTGTTTACGTTGGAGAGCCCACCCCCTTCCAATTACAACTAATGAATGAAAAACATAATTTATTCAGCAGTTACAGACCAGCAGCAGCAGATTCATAATGGGGGTTGATTGTGGGATTGTATATCTGTTCTCTAGCCTATCTGTATATTAACCCCTTCACTTTTCTTATCCTGCACATTAACCTTCTCACCTATTCCTCTCTCTTTGTATGACCTATAATGCTTTTGTATCTAGTGTACCACTACCAGATTCCATGTTTAACTCCCTCAATGCCAGCATGACTCTTCATTTCCAAAACATTGTGACAATGAGATCAACTTGGGGTGTCTACTTTCCAAAAAAGGGATTATCTGGGGGGTATTCACACTATCCTGGCATTTTATTTGGTATGTTTTATAACAGAAAGCAATTGAAAGTTTTGATTTTTTTTATTTTAGGGATTTTTTTCTTTATATAGCAAAAAAACAAAAACAAAATGGTTATTAAATTCCAGAAGAAAGCTATATCTGTAAAATATATATACATTTCCATTAGGGTACACTTTTGCATGATTGAGTAATTGTCAGGCAAACTACCATGGCACTGAAAGCTGAAAAATAATGAAGGAGTAATGAAGAGGTCAAAGAAAGCCTGGACAGAGAGAAATTTGAGACTACTACTTTGGATCAGCTTAAAAGCCTGACTGTCACATACAGTACCTGTCAGGAGACAGACATGATGAGGATGGCCTCTCTAGTATCTCCTGCCCAAGCACCCCTGAATGTAAGACAGATGGTGCTAAAAAACAGAAGGAACACTAATGCTGGAAGATGTTGCTTGCAGAATCCCAGACTGGAGATGCCAATCAGAAAGATCTAACAGAACATGCAGACAGGAATTTCAGATGAGTAGTCAGCAGGAGAACCAGCAGAACTTAAAGAGGAACTCTGGCTTGGTTATAAACCTAGAACAGCAGATTCCACCCGTGACACAAGCGGACAGGCGGCAGAAGTATACATGAAAATCTGCACCTGAAACTTGAAGTGGAAGAAGAAGG